AAAATGTAGATTGATAATTACGATTAATCCGTCATACAGAGTTCTATTTTTGATCCTTTTCTATCACTTCACCTGCTAGACTCCTTTAAACAGAGCCTCTCAGACCTGCAGCGTCAAGCTACGGTTCATTCAGCAACCCTCCTCCTCCACTTTGCTGCCTCTTCCGTGGAGAGTCGTCATGGTATCGGCTCAGCTTTCTTCGCCACCGGTGTTCAGGCCCCGGGAGGTTCGCAAGTTTACCAATTCCATCAAAATCTCTCCTGCAGACGTCATGCAAGAATTCTGCTTGGGTTGTGTTGCCAAATCTTCCATCCATCCATCCATTTTCTTCCCCTTAATCCATTTCTAGGGTCAGGGTCGCCAAATCTTATCATGTTCAAATGCAATAAATATATTAGTACCTCATCATGCGTCAATGCAAATGTGTAATTAAATAAAACTTTAATGCAATCTTTTTTTTGAATATTTCCAGAATAAATCTTTCCTTGTTCTGTATACAATAACTATAAAACATAATTATTTTCAAACCGTGGCAACAGTCCAAACCCGACAGCTATACCTCACATCTATGACGTGTTCATACTTACAGTACCAGTCTGTGGTTTTATTCTGTCCACTCTTTGACCAGATGTCGGTTATTGCCCCCATCGTCGTACACTCCACAGGAAAGCCCTCTATTCGCCCACACGGAAACCCAAACAAATCCTGCTCCTAATCAGATTATTGCTCATTTGATGTGGCGTTTCTTGTAAATAGACTGCAAATGTCAACACACAGAGGCCTGTTGAATGGAGCAGTGAGTGAATTTAATTAGCAGAGACTTCCTTGTGTGTTCAGATGCGGACGGCTTGATTTTTTGCCACAGGGAAGAAAGGAAGTGGCTTTTATTGAGAGTTCACGGTCATTAGATCGGGATAGTGCCGTGATTGACCGAGTGCGGGTTTCAAAACTCAGATGAAGCGTTTGAAAAGTGAGATGTGGAACTGGGCTCGGCTTCGTTTCACTTCAGCAGGTGCAAATCCACCACAAACTCAACACAAACAAACATGTATGTTTGGTTTTTATTATAATGTTAATAATTGCCTTGTTAATGTTAAATACAAATGACTGACTGTCTCTCTGTGTGTGTGTGTGTGTGGGTGTGTGTGTGTGTGTGTGTGTGTGTGTGTGTGTGTTTTAAACTGCATATAATTGTTTATTTTGTATCCCATATATTTAGCTGTGTGTGTACAATAAGTGTTGAGACAGAATATTTAGATTAATAAAGAAATAAATAAATACATGAATTAATACATATATTTAATAACTTAAATACTTAACATTTTCTTAATTTATTTAGATTGTATTTATCAGGAATGTTAATTTAAGCGGATTTAGCTTGTTTTTCTTCCATACCAGACACATGGTTATAATTACATTGCTATGACATAATGACATATCAGGGTAATTACACGGTTATTCCAATATTTTGTCTGATAAAGACGAACAAAAGTATTTAAATAGGGGCTTGAAGTTAAAGTAATTGACAAATACTGAGACTTTCCAACTTGCCATACATGAGACTAATTGTATCTTGTCCAATACAATAGGGTTTGTGTCTGTTGCGTGCAGTTTATGAGTCAATATTTTGAATTAATTTTTAAGTACTTTGTGTTACGTTGCTCTACGAAAAGCACTTTTATGAATAAAAGATTGGTTGATTGATTCCTGCCAGTTGAAGTGTTTTGAACCGCTGCTCCTGCCACATGGTCAGGATAAAGCAGACGGAATTGGACGGATCCCCCTTCACAAAACTAATTTCACCAACACAACAATCGCCATAAAATAAGACACCAGACTAAGCCGCACATTTGACACACACACACACACACACACACACACACACACACACACACACACACACACACACACACACACACACACACACACACACACACACACACACACACACACACACACACACACACACACACACACACACACACACACACACACACACACACCTCATTCTAACGGGACAGTTCCGGTCTCTGTGCTCAAGATGTTGTTAGTGATAAGGTTTTTTTATTAGTGTCCAAATGACCACTGCCCCCAATGCGTCCATCATGAGTCCATCACAGGGTCCATTCCACACACTCTGGCTTTATGGAGAGGCGATGGTGAAAGTGCCACGTCCCATTTCCTGTAGATTGTGTATCTGTTGTAATCTGTGTCAATAAAGCCAATCACAAATCCACTATCTTTCAATATAGGGATTTGGTATTACACGGTTTCCAAGATCGATTCGGTCTGGGTTCTCATATTGATCCGTCTTTTCTTTTCATGCAAAGTCCTCTGAGGTAAGGCGAAAAGGAAAAAAAACTAAAACAGTGACTTTTCTCCCTAGAAACCGGGGCAATGTGATGATTAGAAATACAAATTAGCAAGAATACAAATGGAATGTTCTCATATCATAATTCAGAATGCTGTATTTTTTTTATGAGCAAGGATATTCAGGTTCAGATTTGATTTTTTCAGACATTTTGAATAAATATGGAGTTTAGTACGTGTTTTTTTCCACCCCGCGCTGGAAAGGCTAGTGTTACAGTACATAATTTTAAAGCTGGGGTACCTAACTTCAATGTTTTATACTCAATCCATGTTGCTTGCCCCAACTGAAAGAGTTTTATGAAAGTTTAACTGAACAAATCCGACCTCAATACACCGTTGTTGTTTTAAACATGTTATCTTTTGTATAGTTTTTACCCTGTGAGTCACTATTTGACTCTTTGGGCTGAGAGCGGATTGGCCGCATGAGGCTGGTCCTCTCATTTTCACTTTTCCGTTTGAAAAAGGTGACATAAACCCGTGACGGAGGCCAAAAAACATTGTGGAAAAGATGGAACAGTTTTATAAAAAATACACATTTAATTACAATTTAATTTCCAGTGATTTTGAAAGTTACATACCCCAGCTTTAACACATAGATTTCTACCAACAAATCATCTTCTCCTAATATGACTTTGTAGTTAAAATAGGCAACTTATCTACTGATTGGAGACCATAACTTTGGAAAAATGAATAGAGAAATATTTTTTTCTCCGTATTACTTTGGCCTTTGTGTGGCCCAGTAACTATTTAGTCTGTTGTAGCTTGATGTTGGCAGATGGCAATGGTCCTGTAAAATAACTCACACCGTCAGAATCACAGCACATGGTAACGATATATGCTTCATGTCAGAATATACGGAGGCGGATGTGACCAAAACCCATATTCCATTCAACCCTATCAACGTCATGCTGCTCATTACATTCCATCCATTTTGACAAACCAAACTTTTTTCTATATCAAAAACACATGAGTGAAAGTAGCAACTCTTTGAACGTAATGGACAAGAGAGAGAAAGACCAGCACTCAAAACACTTATTCCCACTCCCACCCCTCCACCCAGCTCTTCCTTACATACTGAGAGACACAGGCTGGTGTGGCAGGACGACTCGACATTTAACCCGCCTTGCGACCTATAGTATTTTTGCCTGGAAAGACTACAGCCAAGTATAGCAGTAATCTAGACAGCAAGGATAATATGAAGGATAATATTTTGTATACTGACAGTGTAGCAAGCCGTGCGACAAGAGTGAAGCTTTTACCACCAAGGTGTTTGTTTTTGCACAAGCGGCTCTTTTCATAATATATTTTTACAAGTTGTCCGCGTTTAAATATGTTTGAAAATGTGCGCGTGCTTCACAGGGATCATAAATGGACAGAAACGTGCATAAACGTCCCTTATGATGTGAGTCCCTGTGGTCATAGTGCGATGAGTGTTGTGACTTTTGACCGCTCTTGAAGGTTTCTACTACATTGAAATATACTGAATATTTTAGGCCATCAATATTCAAGCCAAAAACATTACCATAATTTGAAAAACGTTTAACAAAATTAAGTCATTTTTTTCAGAAATCAATCAATAAATACTAGAACAAGTGTTAAACATGTGCGTGAAGCCCAGATGCTGTATAGAAAGTGATTCAGGCTGTAGCAATTACCATGAATTTAAGACAAAACACAACACAATCACAGATAGATAGATAGATAGATTGGTACTTTATTCTTCCCCGTAGGAACATTTCAGAACCAAATTAACCCTTTTTCTCCTTTAAGAAAGCCGTTCTTGTTCAAAACCCTGTGTGTTAAATGTAGAATTTGACAGCCCGCACCACACCCTCTGCTTTAATGAACTCTAACTGGTTTATGAGTCCAGATTGAGTCCCAGACAAGAGCCGATCTGAGCGCAGCGGATATTGCCTTACCACCGGAGAAGCCTAATGACACATGGATTGGCTGGTGTGAGATGGGGGTGCCAGCTTTGGGGGAGATTTATCACCGTTCATTTGAGAGTGGAGACATTCAATATTTATCTCTAACATCCACAATTCTCTTTTTTACACGTGCCGTATTTGAAACTCCACACTGAGAAAATACCTTGGCTGTGCTTGTCTCTGTCAAACTAAAGGTACAGGGAAAAGGTTTCAACTGATGCTAAGAACAGATACAGTGCCTTGCGAAAGCAAAACTGATAGAGACATACCCTAAGTGACTTGCAGCTGTAATTGCAGCAAAAGGTGGCGCTACAAAGTATTAGGGGGCCGAATAATGTTGCACGCCCCACTTTTCAGTTTTTTATTTGTTAAAAAAGTTTAAATAATCCAATAAATTTCGTTCCACTTCACGATTGTGTCCCACTTGTTGTTGATTCATGACAAAAAATTAAAATTTTATATCTTTATGTTTGAAGCCTGAAATGTGGCGAAATGTTGAAAGGTTCAAGGGGGCCGAATACTTTCGCAAGGCACTGTATTTGTACAAGGCAAACAAGAGATGTTTTAGTGACGTTTTAGGCTTAACGCTTTAGGCCCCAGAATTGTTGTCCTAAAACGCTTAATTTTGACATATTTATTTAAAAAAGGCCATAACTTAGACATGATAAGAGACAGAGGCTTTCTGTAAATGAGAGAAATATATTAAGTGTGGCCCAAAATTGAGGCTCTAGCGGAGGCTGTAGCGGAGGCTGTGGCGTAGGCTGTAGCGGAGGCTGTAGCGGAGGCTGTAGCGGAGGCTCTAGCGGAGGCTCTAGCGTAGGCTCTAGCGGAGGCTCTAGCGTAGGCTCTAGCGGAGGCTCTAGCGGAGGCTGTAGCGGAGGCTGTAGCGGAGGCTCTAGCGGAGGCTCTAGCGTAGGCTGTAGCGGAGGCTCTAGCGTAGGCTGTAGCGGAGGCTCTAGCATAGGCTGTGGCGGAGGCTGTAGCGGAGGCTGTGGCGTAGGCTGTAGCGGAGGCTGTAGCGGAGGCTGTAGCGTAGGCTGTAGCGTAGGCTGTGGCGTAGGCTGTAGCAGAGGCTGGAAGTAGCATCAGGGCGCCCCAAAAGCTACTTCCAGGCCTGTTCTCCACAAAAGCAACAAACTTCCTAACCTCCTGATGAACCCTGACCCTGTGAAACATTGTTCCCATCACTGACGCTGAGCAAAGAACCATCTAAACTGGGCGAAGTGTCTAATGTTTGTGCTCAAAGATGGATTGTATATAACCTGACATTTTTGTCAGTTACGTACCCCTGCTTTAATATGAGCGTTACAACTGTCTTTCCAGCTCCCCATTATCTATCACTGCCGCTGCTTTTGTTGTATATTCTTCGTTTTTAATTACCATTTTATTTGGCTACTGGCTGTTTGAAAGTCAATGTCTTTGTGCTGTAGATAAATACATTTGTAGTTTTTTGTGTATGTTTATTTTTTAAATGAAATTAGTTTAAAAGGCTTCCTCTATAGCAATAGCATTAGCATCCTCTTTCAGAAATGTTCATTTTAAAGCCCTATTCTCAATTGTGTTTTTTTCTTTACCACAGGGACCTGGGATGATTCAATAATTTTGGATTCAACCTGAAATAAAACATCAATATTGTGTTTCAAAATGAAATCTCTTTTACGCAAAAATTCTCTCTGATGCTTACCGTGAAAAACACCTTTATGTTTTCTACCAAATAAATATATATATATATATATATATATATATATATATATATATATATATATATAAATAAAATACATGGAAATTAAATATTTTCACCCTCAAACGAACAAAGCCCAGTTGAGTTTTGGCTGGTCAAACGGAAAATCTCTAATGGAGGTTATTTGTTAATGTCACTGCGTTGATTTGTGCCTTCTTCCATTTGCCGCTCTTTTATCAATCTAATTACATTTTTGAATATTAACGAGGGCGTGGCAATGATCCCTCTTTACCTCTCATAAAACACTACGGAGACATTTTTCTACTTTGACGTATCACTTCTCTGTTCCGTTTCTTTGTAGCATCTTTCCAACCCTTTAGTCTTTCTCTAAATGACTGTTTTAGTGTCATTTTCGCCCAAACACCGTATTGTTAGAGCGGCCTCGTCTCAAAGTGGGTTCACACACATTTACTTAAACGGGACGTAAAGTCTGTAATTGTCTTCCACTGGAGCAGGTTGATTTCACGTTGCCTCTAACAGCAGGTCTGGAGAGCTGTGTTCAAGCTGGTGATGAAGGAGCAGATACTAAAGCTTTTTGTCAGTGACTGTGCTGAAAATCTACAATTATCTGCTAATGCTGTTGTATTAATAATAACTTAAACATAATGCAAACTTAATGCATTTGAAAACTGTATAATTCTAGTTTTAATCAGCCATAAACCGGTGTTTCCCAATAAGGTGTAGGGAACGCCCTATTATTACTATTTAAAATAAATGTAATAATATTTTCATACAAAATTATATGTTTTATGTTCATGGATAATTTACAATATTACAAGACCCACTGCAACACAGACCTTTTGTCTGTTCATTCTCACATGTGCGTGTGTGCATATGTGGATGTGTGTGTGTGTGTGTGTGTGCACTTGTTTTCAACTCCTGGTGGGTTCCATAACCTGAGATTCCACTCACGTCATGGGGACTGGTTTTACGTGGTGGGGCCCGAACACCGGACCCCACTGGTCCAAGCTTAAAGCTGCACTAACTGACTTTGGGATTTTGAAGCCGCGGACTCGCTGGCCTCTCTCTCTCTGCTCCCCTCCCCGCACCCAGGAAGCTATCGCCCCCCACACACACACAGTGTTGAGACGGAGTTAGCGTATCCCAATATGGATAATACATGGATATGGATTTGTACGTGGATGGCGTGACCATAGAACGATAGAACCGGGAAGCACGGAGGAACGGGACTTTCTTTTGGATGGCTGTTTCGCTGTGTAAGCAGTAACCGATGACGAAGACACACGAAGTTTCAGGTTAGCTCCGCCACTTGTTGTGCTAACTCAGCTGTCTGTGCTAACGGACCTGTAGATTTCTCACAAAAGTGGGGGCCAGTGGTCCGCTGCTATTGGTCACAATCCGCGACCCGAAACACATTCTCTTCCTTGTTTCATCAAAACTCGATCTAAAATATAATGTCACGCCAGCACAAATCTGCGCTACTTTTTCTTCAAAATGATGTATATCCCAATGCACTACATGGACATGGATAGCATTTTCGTAATGAATACAAAAATAAAGTCAGTTAGTGCAGCTTTAATAATCAATGGGTAATGCTTTTCTAACGGTCCTTATGCAGTCTCTGTAAAAATATGGAAAGGACCCCTGGAGGTTTACTTTCCTGAAAAAAGTGTGTTATGTGTCGGAACCCTGGTGGTGGGTTGCGGGATATCAAGGAGGGGCACACTGGGGCAATTTCAGTCCAGCAGGCTGGAGCCAATCATGGAGCAGCACAACAGAGGAAATCAGGTGTCAGGCTAGAAAAAGGTGCAAGTGTGTGGTTCATTAGGCTGCAAGAAATCATGGAGGAGCACACTGAAGCGCACGCTTACAACCCACTGGTAAGTGCTGACTACAAGTCATGACTTCAAATTGTTATATAGAATGATTACAAATTATTTGTTGTTTGTGCAGCTTAGTCAAGAGTCCCTAATTGATGAAGTCAACTCAGATTCTGACGATTTAACTGTCAAGAAGAAACCTGTAAAAAAGTATGGAAAAAGAAAAATCAAAAACACTTTTCTTCAAGACTCGGAAAGTGACGAACCAAAGGCAAATAAGATTGTTATCATGCAGCTGCAAAAGAAGAAAAATGGGGGGCGAGTTTATAGCAAGAGACACTTCTGCCTCTACTGTTCAATGTCCTGCCACAAAATGTCCCGTCATTTGACTAGAAAACATGGAAATGAAAGTGACGTAGCCAGAGCATTGGCTCTACCTGTGAAATCTAAAGCACGTAAACTTCAGTTTGATTTGATCAGGAATAGTGGAAACCGTGAGCACAATTTTGAGGTTTTAAAGGCCGGCATTGGAACTTTAGTCCCAGCTAAACAGCCAAATTCCCCAGTTAAATCCAGTGAGTTTTTGCACTGTATAGACTGTGGGGCATTGCTTAAGCGAAAGTCGCTGTGGAGGCATGTGGCCAGGTGCCGGCTTTCACAGAAAGATGCCCAGGCTAAACCAGGTAGAAGTAGGGTCCAGTCCCTCTGCTCCCTAGCCCAGCCTGTGCCGGAGGGCATCAGCAAAAAGCTGTGGTCTTTAATTTCGGCAATGCATCAGGATGAGGTCACGGGTGTTGTCAAAGCAGAAAAGGGGATTCTGAGACTCGGAGAGCACCTGTACTTAAAACACGGGCATGATAAGACTAAGCATGATTACATTAGGCAGAAAATGAGAGAAGTCGGTAGGTTAATTAACGAAGCAAAAACTGCAGGGAAACTGAAAACAATTAAGGATTTCTTTATTCCTTCCAACTTTAACCATGTGATTGATGCAGTCAGGTCTGTGGCTGGATATGATGAGGAAACAAATCAATACAAGACTCCATCCTTGGCCCTCAAACTCGGCCATAGCCTCAGAAAGCTAGCAGATATTCTTGAATGTGACTCAAAAATGGAGCATTGTGTTGATGAACTATTTATTAAAAACCTCCAACGAAGCCGGGTGCTTTTTGAGAAGAGGTGGGACGTCTGTGTTTCTTCTGCTGCCCTACAGACCCTCCGGCAAGCCAAGTGGAACACTCCGGACCTGCTCCCTCTGACTGAGGACGTTAGAGCCATGCATGCACATATTGAGGTATGTCGACCTGAATATGTGCAAACCCTAATAAGTGAGCCAACGTCTAAGCATTGGTCTAAACTGGCAGTTTTGACTCTTTGTGAGGTCATTATTTTCAATCGAAGAAGGGAAGGTGAGGTTTCAAAGATGCCACTGACAGCCTTTACCTTAAGAAGTAAGACTGGGATCCATTCTGACATTGCTCTGGGACTGTCCCAACTTGAGAAAAAGCTGTGTCAGCATTTTCAACGCATTGAAATTAAAGGGAAAAGAAGTCGGAAAGTGCCGGTTCTTTTGACTCCTGAAATGATTGCTTCGATGGAGGTGCTGGTGGAGAACAGAAGGGCCTGTTCCATCTCTGACCATAACCCATACTTCTTTTCCCGCCCGGGCGCAGACACCCACATCAGGGGATCAGACTCCCTACGCCAGGTAGCCAAAGAATGTGGTGCGGTGCATCCAGAGATGCTATCCTCAACCAAACTTAGAAAGCACATAGCTACTATGTCTACAGTTCTCAATATGAAAGAGAATGAGATGGACATACTTGCCAACTTCCTCGGCCATGACATTCGCATCCACAGGCAATATTACAGACTACCAGAGGGGACACTGGAGCTGGCCAAAATCAGCAAAGTGTTGATGGCCATGGAGCAGGGAAGAGTGACGGAATTCGAAGGAAAGAGCCTCGACCAGATACAAATTGAGCCTGAAGGTAATTCTTGATATTATTAAAATATGTATGATTTTTTTCCCCTAAAGGCCACTTGTATTTTTATTTTCTGTGCGACAGGGAGAGCAGTAGAGATCCTCTCACAAACGGACGGGCTAAAAGAAACTTCAAGCGGAGAACCTTCAACCATTCATCCAGATGCACCCCATGGTAGTGGCAGTGCCCCTTCTGGTAAGTGTACCAGGTTGGGGATTACAGCCAGGCTGCTTGGTCCTAACCCTGGGAGTGTATATTGCTAATATATTTTTATTTCTCTCCCTAGAACGTGTAAGAAAGCCATGGTCTGCATCTGAGGTGAAGGCTGTGGAGAAGACCATGACACCTTTCATACAGACTGGAAAGGTCCCTGGGAAGTCTCACTGCCTGGCCTGCATTAATGCCTCACCAGATGACCTTAGACATCGGACATGGAGTGGCATTAAATTCTATGTCAAAAATAGAATCACTGCAATTCGAAAAAAAAATCTAAAATAAAATTCCTTTAAAATAGGCAAGGCAAGGCAAGGCAAGTTTATTTGTATAGCACAATTCATACACAAGGCAACTCAAAGTGCT